GCGTCGGGGCCGCGCGGGCAGCTCAGCTCGGCGGCTCCCAGCTCCGTCCCGAGAGCCGCCAGGCATATGGCCCCCGGGCGGTCTGGAGTGCGGGCCACTTCTGCCCCATCACAGAGGGCACAGGGGCAGGAGGGGAACGGGGCAGAGAGTGGTGAGGGGGTGGGCATCAGGGAAAAAGAGGGCAAAGGGGTAGGGGAGGGTCCAGTAAGGGAAGGTGGAGGCACCAGGAAGGTGCAGGACTAAGGGAAGGTGCAGGTGCCTGGGGATTCTGGGGTGAAGCAGAAGGGCAGACACCTGCAGGGGAAGGACCAGCACCAGAGGAGAGAGGCAGGGCAGGTGTGTAGAGGGAGGTGTTAGAAGAGGGGTAGCTCACATGATCAGAGTGGGGCTACTGGAGGAGTGGGCAGAAGCGGGAGAGAAGGGCTGGGGGAGGGGAGCAGGTCGCAGGAGGGCTGAGGGCAGTGAGAAGGGCAGGAGTCAGGACAGCAGAGGAGGGTGAGGAGTTGCGGTGCAGCAGGCACCAGGGGAGCTAATGGAGCAAGGGGAGGAGACAGGGCAGCAGAGAAAAGGTAAAGACTTATAAAATATTTATTAATAAGTTGGGTGCCACAGTGGCACATGCAAACAAGCCACATGAACTCAGTACTAGTGCACAACACAAAATCCATTCTGCTCATGGGAGGAAACTCTTAGGCTATGTCTACACTGGCGGCTTCTTGTGCACGAAGTCTTGCACTCAAGCAAGTATGTAGAGAGGCCTCCTTGCTTGAACCATGTCTCTAGTTCTGCTCAGGGACTACCCAGAAACCTTTGTTAACCTCTTTCCTTGAGCTGTCTTAACATAACTGCACTGGGCCCAATTCTCTAGGGCCTAACAAATGCAAATCTTGGGCAAGAAGCCCTCAGTTCCCACACTTTACTGTAAATCTTCTTGTGCAAGAGCAGGTGGGCGGTGTGGCTGCTCTGTGGGTTCTTGCACAAGAACGGCTGTACTTGCGCAAGAAGCCGTGAGTGTAGACATAGCTGTAGAGGGAACACTTCCCCCAGCCTCTCTGCCCCCGAGTCAATGGCACACACACATTGGGTTAATGCAATTGCAGGGTAGTTGCATGAGAGGGGTTTGGTGGGGGCCAAACTAATCCCTGTTGATAGGAGGATGGTGGGAAAAGCCCTTTGAGAGGGGTGACATGACACCTTTTACTTCTGGTCATGTGTCCATCTTGCCCCGAGCGTGTTGCCTCCAGAGAGGGTGTGGCTAATGGGGGTCGATGTGTGGTTAACAGCGGTCAAGGGGTGGGGCACCACCAAAACTTATACAAATCTGCCGCCCTGCTTGCCCCAGAGGAGGAGTGCGTCGGCCGCAGAAGGTGTGAGTTTAGCGCAGGGTTTTCCTGTGCTGCGGGAGGGTGTGTGTGTTGGTGGAGGATTTTTTGTGCACTTTTTTTTTTCTCAAGCAGAATTGCTGTGGGGCCCCGTCAAAATTTTGTTTGAAATTTACAAGCCCGAAATAACTGCCCACGTCTACACGCGGCAGTGAAACGAGAGTTCGAAATAAAGCCCTAGTTTGAACTACCTGTTATCCTCCTGCAATGAGATTTAACAGGTAGTTCGAACTAGGGCTTTATTTCGAACGCCCGTTTCACTGCCGCGTGTAGACGTGGGCAGTTACTTCGGGCTTGTAAATTTAAAAAAAAAATGGCGCCCGGCCGGGAACATGCAAATCAAGCGCGGGATATTTAAATCCCAGGCTTGATTTGCAATTCTGGATGCCTACATTTGCAGCCCTAGTTCGAATTAGGCTGCAAGTGTAGACATACCCTTGCTTCCCAAGCAAGCTATAAGGCATAACATCGGCCTAGACTATATGCAAACTGTATTTATTCTCACAACTCTTCCATTAAGCAAGGCCAGACTAGTGTCTCCATTGAACAGATGGGGAAAAACTGAGGCACAGAGCCTGACTGACTCCCCCGAGGTCCCACCACAAGTTTTCAGCAGAGCAGGGAACTGACCCTGGCTAACCTAAGAGCTAGGCGAATGCCCCAACCATTGCACCGTCCTTCCTCTTCTCTTGCTTTTGGATACCTGTCCTTGACTGGCATATATCCCAGCACAGGCGCTTCGGTGCTCAACAGGGAAGATCTACATAAGCCACAATGATCCCCGTTCAGGAAATGCATCTGGGGTTTTGCATGTGAAAATGTTCAGTGAACACCCTTATTTTTGATGTTTCTCTTTTATCCATACTGAAAACAGTGTCACTCGGGAGGTCAGACTGGAGGATCACAGTGGCCCTGTCTGTCCTTGGAATCAATCTGACATTCATCTCTGCAGCATCTGAGCCCCAGACAGATTTTTTGGGTAGACATTGAAGCTGGGCTTTACCCCATCTCCTTGGCCCACAGCCATATCCCCTTGGGCAATGGTCCCCCTGGATCTCCATATCTAAGCCTTTATCACAGGGATTTGGGGAGGCCTCTAAAGGAATTTCCATCTGCCTCAGAAAGTGACACAGACCCTCCAGTAGGTGGCGCTCTGAGTCAGCCCTCGAACCAGCCCCACTGCTGGGTGCTAAGGGGGCGTCTTGTCTTTCGGATGTGATGGCAGACTCCACGCTTGGCCACTTGTGGCAATTAAGATCCCATGTTGCTTTTCACCGCTGTGCCCTGGCCAAAGTCCAGGATGGATAATTGTTACATGCTGCCAGCCCAAATTCTCCCTGCAGCTCCTGTTTTTATTTATGAGTTTATATTTAGATCCGTAATGAGCCTGACATACGGCGCATAATGGGGAGAACGAGAAAACAAGCGAAGGAGGGAGGGAGGGAAGGCAAATACAACTCTTTGCTGACTTGTGCTTCCCTCCGGAGACCGTGACGGCCTTGGCGGCGAAGGGGATGGAGTGAAAAAGAAGATGCATTGTTCGAAAGCAATTAAGTGAAAATGAGCTCGAATCCCAAGGTCAGAAAAGCCCAGGTTGTTAATTAATTCCCAGCGTGCTGCAAAAAGATGAACATCTTACAATAAATAAACCTGGGTAACAGCGTCAATGGCAAAGAGTCAAGTTAACACTAAATTATTATAGGAAGAACTGGCAAAATCACAATTGTGCTTCAGGTTGCTAACAATTTCCACCGTCAGATCCTATTGCCAGTTGCTTTCAAACTTTTCCAAACTTTAATTGTTCCAGCCAATTTTTTTCCATTGGGGGGAGGGTCTCTGCCTCAGGCTGGATTTTTGGGGAAAGTTTCAGGAAAATGGCTCCTGAGAAGGTGGCGAAGGGAAAACAAGTAATTTTGCCCATGTTGGAATTTTTAAAAGCGCTGGCACCACCAAGGTTTGGTGCAGGAATCTGATATGGGCAGGCAAATAAGTGAAAATGCATCTGGATTTAACTGTGTTATAAATCTCCAACCATTGCCAAGTGCACCTGCTCTGCAGGGCTTTTGGTTGCTAGCCACTAAGATCTGTGACCAGTCCATCCGCAATGAGCGCAGTTCAGCTCCTCCGTGCCAGCCAAGTGGAGGTCCAGGCTCACTGAGTCCCCTCCAGGGTAAGCACAGAGCCGGCGTTGCAGACCAAACGCAATGCAGCACGCTGCCGGCCCAGGGAAGGTGTGCTGGATTGTGAGCCGGAGGAAACATCTGCTGAAGAGGATTGATAATTCAGTGTACTTCACAGTCATTACTGTAAAGGGCTAGGGGGATAGAAATGCAGGAAATAGACAGAAACAACCACAATTATACCTCACTGTGTGAGATGCTCATTTTGCTGCCTGACTAATCTGCTTTTGTTTATATATTTTTCCTCTTTACTGAAAAATCCCCTTGACTTTAACATGGATGAATCCAACAGAGATCTACGGAAACAAGTCTAAACCTAGAGAGGATTATGCCTCTGCTGCCAAACTCTGTAGGTAGATTTAAACATTCCGTAGACAACTTTCCACAACACATGGACGTACCCATTGTTTTCTTGCTTTAAATAATGATTTTTTTTGAAGGACAGTGAAAAACCCCTAGGGAAATTCACCCAGCTACTCAGAGTTTCCTATGCCTATTTAACTAAAGGCACAATTTAAAAACCATTTATTTTAACTTGTGCAAGTGGCTGCGTGCACTCTTAGATCAATGTCAGCCTGGCTTAGATTGATTTAGCTAAATCGAAGGGAAACAAATTTAAGAGAAACTGAAATAATCTGAATCCTTCTGATGCTTCCAGCCATT